GAGGTCGTCCCTGGTCCCAAAGGCCCACGGAGGCTCCTTCTCTCCGATTCTTGGGCACCCTGACCCGCACCCCGCTAACGGGGCGGTCACCCCACACAGGCTGCCAGCTGAGAGCTATCAAGAGCGCCGGGCACTTTCTGCTCTGGGGGCAGGTGAATCGGCAGCAGTGGCTGGTGGCTTTGGCAAGGGCTTTTCCCAGGAGGTTTCGGGGCCTTGGGCAGAAGAACTTCCAGAGGGGAGTTCCTCATCACTGAGAAGCTGCCGCTTCAACGGCTGCCGCTTCAATGCGGAGCAGCTGGTTGGAAAGTGGCTGGTGTTTGGGGCCTGCAAGTGGTGCTTCCCACTCTACATCTGCTGCCCTGCCCTGCCCTGGTCCCCTTTCCCTCTGCTCTCAGCCCCAGGAGCAGCTTGGGAGAAAGCGCAAGAGGCTGGGAGGAAGGGGCCCCGTCTGGGCTTCGGGTCATGCATCGGCTCTTGCCTGCAAGCAGGGCTCAGGTCCTGCCCAGGCAGCCCTGGCACTGGGAAGCCATTTTGTTGCCCTGAGCTGGGCCACCACCCCAGAAGCAGGGCTGGGGCCTCTGCTCTTCTTTAAACGTCCAGGCTGCCGGACACTACGGGGTGAGAAAAGCGGGCCTGAGATGGCTGCCCCCGGGGGCAGAGGGGGGAAGGACGGCCGGGGATCAGGGAGCGCTGCGGGGAGGTCCCTCCGAGGGCCGGCATCCCTCCGTCCTCCAGGCGGAGAGGCTGGCGCTTGACTGCGCCGTCCTTCCTTGGCAGCAGCTCCCGGAGAAGAAAGAAAGAAGAGGCATCCCTCACGTGTAGAACAGCAAGGCAAGAGCGAGTGAGAGGAGGGGGAGCGGGCTGAAGCAGGGGAAAGAGAAAGGCACTCTGGGCAAAGGCTCCCTGCCACCGGGACCGTGGTCACACAAGAGCATCCTTGGCGCTTTTGGGATGGTTTTTATGGGTCTGGGCGGGGTACTTGGCTCAGGGCCATTCCTTAGATTTTCGCAAGCGGTTCCAATTCTGTGCTAAGAAGACACAACTTCCAGATTTTTGCCCCTGAAAGGCCGGGGCCAGGGACGCCCACCTGATTACAGGGGGTCCCGCCAAGTACCTCCCGCCCAGCCCACGGGGGCCGCCCAGCCCCCCC